ACCCGCCCCAAGGTAGGGGAAGGGGGGGGCCTGCCATTTCCAGTCTCTCTGCCTCCCCTCCTCCGATGACATCACTTGTTATTGAAGGTCGCAGCCGCCAGAGCAGCCCTCCAAAGCAACACGACTCGGAAACTCAACACCCAGGCAGAAAACAAAGGTGCTGCTGTGATCAGGCCGGGCCCGGGCTTTAAGGCACCAGCGGAGACTGGAGAGAGAGTCCGCCCCCCCGAGTCCCAGCGTCTCCCATGGGTCACAGAGCAGGGACTCTGCAAACTGGCCGCTCAGCAAGCTCTTGCAGCTCCGCGTAGCAGGGCAGAAGCAAAGGAAGGAACGACACCGCCGCGCCAGGGACTCGCCCACTCGTCCGTCTGCTCCTTCCCTAGCCACGGGGGAGGGGCAGGGCCAAGTGGCTCTGCTGGCCACCGGGCGCTTACGGGTGGTGCTGCTGGTGTCTGCACCCTGCAAGTTGAGTTTGTTCTTGCTCCCTGAGGGAACTGGGCTGCCAGGCCAGCAGAGCGTAATTCGTGCCTGGGGCTGTCAGGGCTCAGCCCCAGCATCTCGGCCGCTGGAGGCGCGCAACGCCCAGCCCAGCACGCAAGGCCCGTTGCTGCTCGAGTCCCAGAAGTCCTGGCTTCACACATTTAGCGTCACCCGCCCCCGCTGACCGAGCTAGCTGGGATGTGGTGTGTTTGGGGGGGGGGGGGTGGGGGATGCCCCTCTCTCTCTCCCCAGAAATGACTCCCCTCCCCCGCCATCTTAACTGGAGCACAGCAGGCCAGCTGCTGCCTTTCCACTAGGTTTTAGCAGCTCTCTGGGCTGGGCCCGATCCCTCCTCCCAGGTGCATGACGACGCTGTGGGGTCTGCCCTGAGCATTGACTTTTGAGCCGGACGCTGCAGGGGGAGAGGTGGCCAGACAACAGCCAAGGCCCAGAAATGACTCCCCTCCCCCGCCATCTTAACTGGAGCACAGCAGGCCAGCTGCTGCCTTTCCACTAGGTTTTAGCAGCTCTCTGGGCTGGGCCCGATCCCTCCTCCCAGGTGCATGACGACGCTGTGGGGTCTGCCCTGAGCATTGACTTTTGAGCCGGACGCTGCAGGGGGAGAGGTGGCCAGACAACAGCCAAGGAAACCAGGCCATGGCCACTCCACGCCCTCTGCCTGTCCCAGGAGGAACACGCTGCCCAACCTCCGCTAGGGGGCTGAGCCGGGGGTAGGTGGGGAAGGGCTGCTGGGATTCCCCTCTACCGTGCCCCTCCCCGTCCCCCCACTGGCTCAGCCTCAGAGACAGGGCCATTTCTCCAAGCTGGAAGCAGGAGGCGGTCCCGAGAGCAAGAGAAACTTTCCCGCAAGGAGTCGCTTGGAAAGCTTGGAATTCGGCTGCCAGCACCAAAGGGAGCAGCCACCCGGCGCCCGGCTAGCAGAGCCCAGCGCAAGCAGCAGCGCCCGCTTGGGGGCTCACGCGCCCCTGGGAAAAACAGGACATCTCATGGGGAAGCCCCGATGCCCCGGTGATGGGCGCAGCGCAGGCCCCGCCGGGACACGGCTGCAGGCAGAGCGCGCGCACATGGTTCAGCAACTCCCCGTGCGACGTTTACAGACAAGAGCTCAGAAAACCGGGGTGGGGGTGCTGGGCCCTTGTGCAGACACTAGGCAGGGGGGAAAGTAACTTCAATTTCTTACAAGTCCTGTGGTATTGCAACCCACCCCGGGAGCCCTCAGGGCAGAGGTTGCGGGAGGGATCCTGATACGACAATACCTGTAAGAAATGTAAGTGTGGGGTGGAGTGCGGGAGAGGCTCAAGGCAGAGGGGTGGGGAGTGTCCAGGTGTGAAGGAGCTCAGGACAGGGCTGAGGTGAGGGGCTCAGGGCAGAGGTGTGTGGAGGGGTGCAGGAGCCAGGCAGGGCGCTGAGGGTGTGGAGGGCTCAGGGGTGAGTATGTAGGGAGATGTGTGGGGAGGGCCCCTGCTGAGATGCATGCTAGGACACTGCCTGCTGGGCCCTTCCCACCTCGCTCGCCTGCCCCGTCCTCCTCAGAGGGAGAGGAACACGGCCGCCTGTGCCTTTCCCCTCGCTCCCCAACGGGAAGGGGACCCAGCAGCCTCTGGTACGCCTCTCGGAGAGGGGAGTTCAGCCCCTCCTCCCTCCCTAAACGGCCCCAGTGGAGACTCAGGGCTGGGGCAATCCCAGACCAGTGGGGGAGCGCACCTAGCCAGCCCCTTTCACCTGCCTGCTGCTTAGAGCGGCAGCCCCCAGGAGCCACCCTTCCTCCGCAGCCGAGTGCCCCTGCCGGCCAGCTCCCACTTGCCCGAGCAGCACACGGGGCACACGGCCCCATTTCCCCCTGACACCAGTTCCAAAGGGACAGGGCCTGCGGCTCTTACACTTCGGACACAGGCACTTCATCCCAGCGGCCAGCAGAACAACTCTGGGGCCCGTTTCCAGCCCCTTCCCAGAGACCCGGGCCAAGGCCTCGCCCCACCTGTAGGGCTTGGGATCCGAATGGAAGATCCCGGCTGAGGATGGACGCTGGGCTGAACACAGCTTTGTACCTCCCGCCGGGCAGGGCTGCCAAGGGTTAAGGCAGGAGAGCTGGAGGCTCCCCCAGCGTACCTGGCTCCTCCGCAGCGCCGCAGCGCATCCACACGCAGCCCGTGGTGTTCTGCGACGCGTCTCCTTCCAGGCACTTCTCACAGGACTCCAGCTGTTTGCACTCTCCTGCCAAAGCCAGAGGATGCCAGAGGTCAGGTCCCAGCAAGCAGCCCGGTAACTAGCGCCGAGAGGAGAGGAGAGGGGGGGGGGGGGGGGGGGGGGGGGGGGGCGGCAGAAGGCACCTCAGATCTGGTAAGTGAAGCTTTCACAGACATAGGAAGGCCCCCAGCTCTGTTCTCCGCCTGCAAAGAGCTTCAGTTCTGACTCGAGCAGGGGCCCTCTCGGGCGCCCGGCCCGCGTTCCCCAAGGGTGACGCTGTTTCACGGCCTGCAGGACGGTGCTTCCCTCCACACCTCTCAGGCCCAGCACACCACAGCCCTGGCAATCAAAACACATCCCAGCCCTTCCCCCCTCTTCCAAATGAGGTGCATTCGAGTGGGGTAAGACCTAGGAGAGGCAGAGTCCTGTCATCTGAGCACAGGACAGTCAGAGCTCTGTGACACCTACTGCCTCCCTGGCCTCAGGCAAGTCACCTCACCTTGGTGCCTACATACCTTTGAGGATCTGGACCTCAGTTTCTCCACCTCTAAAAGCAACCATTCACATACCTCACCCAGCTGTGGCCCTGAGCTGGGGTGGGGGGTCTAGCACTGAACGCTCTCGCCAGAGATGCAGGGAACACACCTGTGCTTGAATCGCAGTAGTGGCTGCTCCTGACACTAACCTAGCCCCATCTACTACAGAGTTCAGAGCACCCATCCACAGCCCTGGGCCGACGGCAGCATTTCAGGCCCATGGCCGTTCTGAAACAATACACTTCAGGTTGGACTGATTGGGGGCTTTGGGGATTTGCAGAGGTCTCTTTGGGGCTGTTCCAGAGCAGGGATTGGCCTGGGGTGCCCTAGATCCCAGGGGACTGCCTGAAGCACCAGAGTAAGGACGAGAAGGGCCGCATGGGTCAGTGGTTCTGTCACCACCTCCTCCTCCAGCTGTTTTGTGAATGCTCCAAACTATTTGGGTCAACTTCCCTGTGCTACGCCTGGGCAGCCCCCTCCGGCCACCAGGACAGGCCTGCAGCATGGCTCACTTGCTTGTTGACCTCACTGGATTCCTGTCCCCAGCCCTCACATTCTGGGGCTGCAGCCTGCTTCCCCCGGCCTGCTGCCTGCTTCACTTGCAAAGCCTGGTCACGGGAGAGCCACTTCTGATGCGCCTAGGCCCAGCCAAGGAGTCGCTGCAGCTCTGGGTCCCAATCTAATGCTATAGACTACGCGCATTAACACCTTCCCTCCCCCCCACTTGCCAGAACATTTTTAGCAGGCTGGTCAGCAGCCCGGCTCCATCCCAGCTTGCGCTGGGTCTGGGACTTACACTTTAAATGCAGCGCTGCAGCAGGGGTATTAGAAGCCAGGTGGGCAGGCAGCCTGGCTCAGTTCTGATTTGCACTGGTTCCGGGAGCTCCAGCCCCCCTCCCCAGACAAGGGCTGCTGCCTCTGAACCAGAGCCAGCAGTGCGGGGCGACAGGCAGGCAGTCCACAAGGGGAGCTGGTTTTTAAACTGGCTCCCCTTGTGGGCCAGCTCCTGCCTGGCACCCCGCGCTGCTGCCTCCAATACAGAGGCAGCAGCACGGCGTGGCAGGAGGCTCCTCGGAAGTGGGGCTGGAGCGCACTGGCTGCCGGCCCGACCCCCGGAAACTATAGAATAGTCGAGTAACCAATAAGAATTCATGAGGTTAATCGACTAGTCAATTAACTGATATTGAACATCCCTAGACTGCTCAGAACAGCACAAGAGGCAATCAGCACTTGTCAGGAATGACCCAGAAAAGCCATTCACTGAGGTATATTGGGTGGATCAGTTACAGCTGAGAGGAAGGCTGGTCTCTGGGCGAATGCCCTGCACTAAGACTCAGAGCTCTGCTGCTGGGTAAGTCACGGAAATAGCCCAGTGCCTCAGTTTCCCACTTTGACTGTAAGCTCTTTGAGGCAGGGACCATCCAGATACTGGTCCACACAGTAAGCCCTGATCTCAGTTTAGGTCACTAGAAATAATCACACACAGAGCAGCCTTCGTGCCGCCCGACTATTCCCCCAAAGTGGGCTGGCTCGCTAGCTAACAGCCAGAACCCAAGGAACTGCCAGGATCCGTGCCAGAGAGAGCCACTCCTGGGAGGACGTACAACCACAACTTGGCTTCCAGTGCATGACAATGTTACAGCCCAGCCTACGCCCCAACGTGACCCTAGCGGTCCCCAGCATGTGCCTCCCAGGCCTGGCGTGGTTACAGCAGGGGTCTGCTCCCTGCCTCCGCCCTCCCTCAGTAGCTTGGGAACACTGCCTTCCCCACCCCCGCCTGGATCAGTATTAGCAAGTCTAACCATTATCACCCATGGAATCCCCCGCATTTACTCAATCACCCAGCATTTCAAAAATAGCCCATGGGGAAGTAAAATGAGTCACCCGGGTATCAAACCGGCCTCTTATTGTTAGATAAGAGCTCTCCTGCCCCGAGTTATTTGTTGGGAACAGAGGCAACGGTAGCCACTAAGGACGGGGCAGAGGGGAAGCTGCACGACCTAGTGGTTAGATCAGGCCCTTTGGCCTCACCAACGCGCCCGTGCTGCAGACACAGAGGTGTGGGCTGAATTCTAAGCACTGGTGGGCAGCCCGCGGGCCGCCTCCGGGTGCCGTGTGTGGCCCGCAAGATGCTTCGTTCACGGTTGCTCACACACAAGGTTGCCGGATTCTGCTGGTTTCCATCCGCGTCGTTTTTTCCTACCGGTATCACTGCAGCGACCCACAGGTCAAGCACGTGGAGCGAGGTGTGCGCGCTGAAGGCAGCCACCGCTGACGGGGAAAGTCGCCTGTGCCCTCTGCAGCCAATCAGAGCACTGCTACCGTTCAGCCGGCACACCCCACATGTTCTAGGGACACAAGCGCAGGAGACCTGTCTGGGTTACAACAATCTCGCCTCCCACGGAGATGGAGGAGGGACACTCAAGCGGCCCGCTCACTAGCCTAGGTTGCCCACCACTGGGGCCTTGGTACTTAGTTTTCTAGAGAGGGTCATTCGCTCCAGGCACCACCAGTTTGGGATGTCCAATTTGAGACAAGAGGGCCTGCTGTTCAAAGGGCCACAGAGCCCGCAGCCCTGGCTGATTTCAGCCGGCATTGGGGGCAATCATAAGGTTGCCAGGTGTCCGGTATTGAACCAGGCAGTCTGGTATTTTCGCCTCCTGTCCGGTAAAAAATTCAGAAAATACCAGACACCTAAAGTGTCCGGTACGTTCTGATTTTTTCCCAGCCAGGAGGCAAAAATCCCAGGCTGTGCAGCTCAATATGGAGGCAGCCTTGCAACCCTAGTGCTTACCAGGTCCCGCAGGGGAGCTGTCCAGCCCGGCACAGGGAGGCAAGATGGCAGGTGGCCACCGGCAACCTGTTAGGGCCAAAAAGCCTCACCAAGTGGTTTTTAAAGGGGCCACGGTGGGTTTTTTTTTGTTTTGGGCTTAACAACTCTCGCACCTCCCCCCTTTTTGTTTTGCTCAACAAACGTTCCTGGTGTGGTTTTTTGGTTGTTATTCGGTTTTTTTTTGGCACTCGACACAGTCATGAATCAGACCCCAGACCACCAGCTGAATACCCAAAATTAGCAGCCACCTTGGAAAAAAATATCTAGGCGTTGTTCCCTCAACAAGGTGCATGCAGGCAAATCCCAGCACACCCAGAGAAGTCCCTGGAGGTTTGGGCCCTGGACCTCAACCGCCTTACCTCAGTTTACCACCCTTGCCAACCGGGAGGGATGTGCCCCCACGTCAGAGCCCTTGGAAAAGCTGGGCTGAGAGGCATTACAGGAGCGCAAAGGGTTATTTGGTGACTGCTAATGAGCGGTGTAGGGTCCAACGTGAAACAAAGGGTCATTCAAACCCACAGGCCAACAACCGCCCGGCAGAGCCTGACCCAAGGCCAGTCCTGCTGGCACCGGCCACGAAAACAGAAACGAAAATAATTAGGCAATTACCTTCTTGTGTTAAGTTAAGAGCTGAATAGCACATTGCCATGGAGACAGCGTTTTGGTGCTTCCCCTTTGCCTAGCAGTTTGTACAGTAGCCAATGGGAGAGGAGCATTGTGTTCTCCGGGTTTAGGGCAGGTTTATTATTTAAGTTATTTTTATCACACCCAGCACAGAGACACAAGCAGACATTTTGCTGAATGTCGCCTGCTCCACTACTTTACATTGGGGATTGGGCCGCTGGAGAGAGAGAGAGAGAGAGAGAGAAACAGCTTGTGGTGCTCTAGGGTCTGGATCCACCTCTCAGCAGTTCTTAGCAACAAAGTCCCAGCTGCAGAAAGGTGAGCGAATCTGCCAGCTGCTCTTCCCATGCTGGGAGGCAGTCAGGTGAGCTCGGGGAGGAATTATCTTGGTCTCTGGTGGGCCGGCCACCGCTCGGAGCTCGAAATCTCTGCCAGGCATTTTCGTTGGGAAATGAAACAAGTGCTGGATTTGCATGAGGATACAGAAAAGATCCCGCAAGTCCCCAAGGAGGCAGGAACACACAAGTGCACAGTTTAAGCTAGAAGTTTCAGCAAGGAAATGGACCCTGCACAATTGGGTCCCCATCCCCTAAAGCAACACAACTCCCCTGCCCCCAGCCGAGCACCACATTTTGGTCTCAGGCGAAACCCACAGCTATGCCTGGATTTGGGAAGCATCCACTGTCTGCCCCAGCGCTGGGCATTTTGGACAAGGGCTGCTCTGGGCACCAAGGGGCACAGATCCGCTCTGAACAGGGTCACTGCCTTGGGGTGACTCAGGATGGGAGGCCACTGGCCAGAGTCACAGCGGAGGGTGGGGCCGCTCCATGAGCCAAGCTAGTGCAGCCAAAGCAGGGGGTTAACTCTGCCTTATGCCAGTGAGCAGGGCAGCAGCTGGCCATAAGCCCCAGGCTGGATCTACTGTCCTGCAAAGGGCCCCCTATCCCCTATGACTTGGGAAGAGCCTGGGCCAGGACCCAGCTGCCTCCCTGGTAAGGGACAGGTGGCAGCCTCTCTGGTAGGGGACAGCCTCCCTGGAGGCTCAGCAGGGTCACCTGGGATGGGGCAGGGACGGTTTTGAAAACAAACTTGGCGCAGGCCAGTTCGCTGGAAAGGCCAAGGCAGGGAGGGGGGAACAGAGACCTTCCTTGAGCTGGATTGAGGGGGGAAGCTGCCTTAGCCACCAGCCCAGCCTAGGAGCTGGGTCCGAGCTCGGGGGGAGGACTCCCCGGTCCTGCTGGGTGCTCCAGAGGCGCCGGGCGGGGGAGAAGCTGCCACCCCCCAGACACCACCTACCTGCCCAGCTGAGAGGCAGCCAGAGCGCGCAGCGGAGCGCGCAGCCCCG